CCAATCCTCCCCTCTTCCTCCCTTTGCTTTCACAAAAGTCTCAAAAGTCAGACAGACAATTTTGCCCCTCTCCACCCACCCCTTCCACCCCTCCAAGCTCGTCTTCCATACACTTATTAACTAGCTGTCATGTTCAGCAGCCTTCCCCCAGACAGTGTTTAGCGTTCCTCAGTCCTCTTACTGCAGTCAGAGTTAAGCCTCTGGGCTTTGCACAGACAGGAATCCAACTAGAAGGGAAAGGCAGGACCTGCGGACACGATCTGTCTACTGCACTCACTCGCACTCTCGCTCCTGAGCCAGGTACCTCAAAGGCAGCGCTGAAACACACACATCATACAAGACGTTACCTACATGATGGCTTTTCTTAAATTAAATACAGGCAAAGGAGCTAGATTACAGAATCTAAGAATTCACCCAGGGATGGAACAATTACTTGTGATTAACCAAGTTTTCTTAAATGACGCAAGATCCTCTCAAGATATAGTTTTGACAAAATAGCACGCATTTTGGGGTTTAAATTTGTGGGTGAATTTTCACCTCTCTAGGAAGCTACAGTTTCACCTCTGTCACTTAATCTGTATGTCAGCGTGGTGTCTGAAACACCCACGAACAAATTTCCATGAAATTTGCCAGAGAGATCAGCCTCAAGCCTGAGAAGGGTTGATTAGATTTTGATAGTGATCTGGATCTGTGATTTCCACTATTAGATGATTATTGTTTTCCACCCCCACCCACCCACATACTGGATATAGAGATTTAATTCAAAATCCAATCCGCAGTCTAACGGTATGCTCGCTGGGTCAAAAAATCGATTTCACCTCGAATTTAAGAACCAAGGAATGTTCAGTGTCCTTGAAGGTGGGCTCCATCCAGTTTCTGCTCATATTTTCGATGACATCCAGGAAAGAATTCAACTCCTGGGCTCGACTCATTGTGTGGTACCTACAATAGTGGATTTGTCATCTGCCCCGTCGTTCTCCACCCTCCCCATCCCAGGGCAAATGGTGTAAGAAATGAGACGTGGCTGGTGGATAGACTTTCATGCCCCTGCTTTACCAGTGTCATTTCCGCAACTCTGAAATTGTGCCATGGTCTACGGGGCTTTGTTGTAAATCACTATCTCCCACTGTCAGACTGCAGTCTGCTGCACACTGTGGATGCCGGGCTTTCTGCTGCCTCCTGGGTGACTAATATATCTTGTTAAATTGTGCTGAGAAGCGTGCGGAGAACTGTACACCTTCGCTCTTTGTACTGTGTTTGTTTGCTAGCATTTGTGCTTGTGTGTGTGTGTGTGCGCGCCTCTTTCCATATGTGTGTGAGCCTGCGCCTGTGCATCTGTGTCTACATTTCGTGGCTGAACAGGAAGGTGAGGATGTTACTTTTGCAAATACGTTCGCTAAACTCCACAAGTCTGTCAGGCTTTGTTGGTAATTCAGTTAGATTGCCATTCGGTTAGCTCAACCACCACATAGTGTCGGAGCTGTGAAGCTATCTCTCAGCCACTTCATAATTAGAAAAGCTGTGGAGCCAAGCCACAGTTTGAGGGGGAAGAGGGACCAAAAAAAAATGAAAAAAAAAATGAAAAAACTGTTGGCAGACTGCGTTATTCAACATTGGCAGTGATTTACTGCGTCTCCCACCCCAAAGACACGAATCTAAGTGATTTCATAGTCACATCCGTCCTACTGTGCCATACTGTAAAAAGCTGCACTCGTCTTTTATCACAAGTTCATGTGCTCTTTACTATCAGCTTCATCCAGCAATGTGCATTACATCACACACACACACACACACACACACACACACACACACACACACACACACACACACACATACCACATCTCTGTCCAACCACTTTGAAAACAGATTTAGGAGTATATTTCTGTGTAATTGGTGTTCTCCTACACGAAGCAGGAAGTGATAATTAGTCATTGTTAAGTGAGGTATAAATTGTCAGATCAGTGTGGATTTATCTTCTCAGCACACAGAGTGGAGAATAGGCCTTTTTCGGAGGGATTTATACAGACTCTATAGGGATGTTCAACCCTCCTGGCCATCGTCCAGCTCGCAAATCCCTTCAGCTGAAACCTGTCGAGAAGCAGCCTTCGCGTGGCTTAACTGTATCCCATCTAATTCTTGTGTCTTTTTTAGTCATAGCAAATTCACTCTGAGACTCAGGTTGACCTTCAGAGGCAAGGTGAGGGCGGACCCTGACAATACGAATCTAATAACCAGAAGTAGACGTCACAAATTCCTGCCTTCTCTGTGAGTCTGTGGGTGAGAAACACGCGTCTCGCCTTATTTTGGTTTCCATGCAATTACGGATCTGACGGCTCCATAAATAGGCGTCTCTGAAGGGAATCTGTCTCATTAGTAAAGGAGCAAGTTAAGAAGTCACCATTGTGGCAGCAGAAAATTTGCTCTAATGGTCACAAGAAGCCTGGAGAAATAAAAGACAGCGTCACGTATTTAGTGGAAGGGGGGGAAACTTCAGATTTGAAAGGAAGAGAAAAAGAGAAGAAAAACAGAGAGACCTAGTTGGCTGGCACTGAAAGAAGCAACTCCAGATAAATATTTGGCACAAGAAAATCTTAGGAGGAATCCCGGAGCACTCGCAGAACAAACAACGTCATGATTTATTATCACATCATACAGACCGTGACTAATGCACTCAAACAATCAAGGTGCATCTACTGAACTACAATGCCCAGGGGTGCTCTCTGCCTCTGACTTCAAACATTCGTAAGCGAGGCACACACACACAGACGGACACACACACACACATTAGAGCCACTCGCCGTGCGCGCAGGCTCAACAAATGCCCACAAGTATCCAAACACGCTCACAGGAGAGGAAAAGAGCCGCAGAGATCACCATAGGGGATCGAAGGGTGCTTCAGCACAGACCGCTGGGATGTGATTTTATTAGCTCCAGATGCCACTGCAGAGAGGGCTAGAACCGTTCAATATTACGAGCAGGACACATCAAAATGATGCTGCCCATCTGGAGCACAAATAATGTAATCAGCTCGGGTCACCGGTCATCATCGTCTGGCCATCGGGTAAACCCACCATCCGGTGACGTCAGCGCTCACAGGGACAGACAGGAGCCGGCCGGCAGAGTGAGACTGGAGCTTTTTGGAATAGCCCCTGAGCTGCTGCACATGCCCCACAGAGGAGAGATATATGTGGGAGAAGAGGGAGATGAAATGTGAGGGGCTGTCTATTGTAATCTGAGCTCTGCTTTAGAAAATGCTGATGGCTGGAATATGTCTATCCCCCCTCCGCCTGTCAAACCAGTTCAGCAATATCGCTTAAAAATGTCTTCATGCGAAGCTCCAGCGCAGCCGGCGCGATAAACACATACATGATGTACTGTATGATCTCCACACACATGCACACATACAGACTCTGTTTGCAGAGCCTTTAAATATTCAGTACCTGCCATGTTTTCTGTTTGACTTTGATCAGCCACAGATTCGACTCTGTCCCTTTCATCTCAAAACTTCAAACCAGCAAATGAAAAACCTGGACCACAGAAGCTATTCTGGCTAAGACAATCTCCTTTCACCACGCTGCTTTGTGCCATATAGAAACAGGTGGGAAGTTGTTCCTGTAAAAAGGCAAGCAGCGAAGTTAACCCACTATTTTCAGATGTAAAGCTTTTTTCTTTCTTTTTCTCCCTTATCTTCGGATAAGAGGAGCTCTTGTTTGTAATTTTAAAAGCATGTGTGAAGAGGCGTGCTTATTGCAGAATATTCCCCGGGTAGTTTGACAACTCCCCCAAACAACTTCTTGGCTGCCTTCAGGCATATTACCTCAGGCTTACTTTAAGCCAGAGCAATAACTAACATGGAGCAATCTGCAGACAAACAGGAAAGGATGGCGAAACTTTTCCAAGCACAGAATTCAATTTTCAGGATTGTGCAGGGGCTACTGGATTCACCACACCTCTACCCCATCACCCTGTCGATACCTGCAAGTTTGGAGTAAAACAGCCAAGTTAATCCCTTTATAGCCTGCCTGCATTATTCAGCGAATCCATTAAATATTTAAAGCCACATCACTGATATCATCTTGTTGTCAATAACGCTGGAGGACATGTTGTTTTTAGAAAACTTGAGTCAACTCCAGGAGTGCCCTCCCCCAGAAAGAGGAAAAGAAAGCAAGGCCTTTGAGCTGATCTCTAACAGCAGAGCAAAAAAAAAAAAAAGAAGAGGCAGCAGAGCATCACAGTGCGACTGCAGGCGGCCGCAGATAGACAGTCATCCGCCTTTATCAGAGCATGCTGTCCCACCTGCATCGATTCGCATCCCGTGGATTTGCCACTGGCTTCAGCGCGATCATCGGTGGAGAGGGGCGGAAAAAAAGGGAATCTTCACAGATAGATTCACGCGAGCGTCGGGGGTGGGGGGTTGGGTTGGGGTGAAGTTTCATACGCGACAGAATAAAAGGCAAAGGTGCGTTGAGAGCCCAGGCCTGCATGATCGCATCACAGGGCAAAAAAGAAGGGAAAATGCGTCGCAGAGGACCTCTGTACCGGGAGGAGCACGCTTCCTTTCTACATCCACAAAAATGAATGAGAATTGCGCACAGAGCCCTTTCACGAAACAGAAAAGTTAAAGAACCCACTGGCCACAAATTGACCCCCGATATAAGTTGAATGAGCAGGCTCTGGACGTGCATACAAATAACTTCGATTCAAACTCATTTCCAATTCAAAGCCCGAAGTTACCCCACTAATTAGTCTCCTCCAAATATGGATTTTCTTTCTCTCTTTCTTTTTTTGCCCCACTTGCGATTTCATTACAATCCATACAAGAGGAAACCGTCTTATAAAGGCGACACGACTAATTCGCTTTGGTCATATTCCAATAGAAATTAACCCCGACTCGGACAATACAGCGCGCCGCAAAGACAAGAAGTAACTGTTCGAGCGGCGAATCGGGCACAAATGAGACAATTTCCCACCGGCGGAGAGAAGTTGCAAGCAAAGCTCACCTGATAATGAAGTTTATTCTAGGGAGGAAATGTTCCCGGGGTGTTGAAGGCGCACGTCGGAGCCAAGTGTGTATCCGTTCGCTGCAGCTTTTTTGTTGCCCGTTGTTCCACCTCAACTGCGCGTCTCAGTCGCGCTGCATCACTTCTCGCTGTGGATGTCAGGGAAGCTGAGAGGCTGAGGGGACTCAACCCTCCCATTGGCTGCCATTCACAAGTCCCCAGCAGAAAGGGAGAAGGGGAGGAAAGAAAGAAAGAACGAAGGAAAGAAAGAAAGAAAAAAACAGTGCCACACTCCGACAAAAAACTAAACAAAAGGAAGATGGCAGAAAGGGGGAGATTAGGAGCTCCGGTGGGGCGAGCGCGTTCAAGTTTATTAATAAGCTTGATGTTTTATTTGTGCATCTGCATAATCCCCGTGATTAACAGCTGCAAAGTCATAGGTTGACTGCGGGTTGGGAGTCAATCAATAAATCTTTATATTTGCGAAAGCATCCAGTTAGGCTCGCTGCTTCCTTTAAAACCGTGTAAACCACAGATCACGGCTTATTACAATAGCTAATTAAATGTGAGTAACTGTGTGAACTCAAGTGTCATGCCAGGGCAAATTAGCATGTGTCTTAATATGTCCCTATTAAGCCTACAGCTACTATGCTTATGATAAATTCAATAATATGCATGTATTTTCTTTTGTGCGTCCAACAGAGCTGCAAATGTAAATGTACTTAAAGTATGGCTATGAATCAACTCTATGAACTGAATAATGCTGCTGCAACAATCACCATACACTTACTATTAAGGCACTTCTGTTAATAGCAGCCTGACTTTACTGCTTCTATTACATCCTGCTGTTTCTACCACTAATACCTCACGATTAAATGCTACCGCAGGACTGTCCTTATTATTATTATTATTATTATTAGTCGAGGCTTCTAATATTAAAACCTCAATCTAATACAGCATCCCTGCTATGAACCCTACCTTTATAAAGGTTATTATTTTCATTTTTTGACACTTCAACTCAGTGGTCATTTCAGAGTCTGTAATCCAGTTTAAAACACTATGACCTCCCCAAATATCAGCTATAGCGATATTTGGGAGGGGGAAACATATATCAGCCTGTAACGAAACTTTCTCAGAGTAACTGTTTCGCTGGTGGGCACAAACATTGCGAGAGCCTCTCCTACCTTGAAAAGAAAACTTAATCTGTGTGGTCCGCTGATCTGCTGCTAATCATGTCAGACTTATATTTGGGGAGGTTTATGTGTTCAACCGGCCAAGACACGATTTTAGCATTTCTAAATATATCTCAATTAAGAGCACAATCAAGTGGGAAGTGCTCAAGCATAAGAGCACTACTGCAAATAGAAAAATGGGCTAAACTGAGCTTTTGCAGCTCAATAGATGCTTTAAAAAATAAATTTCGCTTGACAAAACAACTTTGCAGGATGTACAGTTTTCCATTAAGGCGTTTTTTGTAAGGACACTTCACTACAAAAAATAAATTACAGAAATAAATAAATACATTTATTAAATCACATGTATATTTCCCCCTGGTCTGCGGTGCTATTTATTGATTTAGACTGTTTTGGCGTGAGTTGCCCAATTTTGAAGATTTCCGCTGCTAGGGATGTCGGCCTTCTCTTGAATATAATGGAAGTAAATGGCACTCACCTTGTGGCGCTCAAATCGTCACAAGAATACATTTTAAAAAATCATGACCCTTTTACTCCAAAATATCCACAAACCTTGCAGTAAGCGGTTTCATTTAGGAAGTATTTTCTTTCTACCAACACCCTTCAATCTTATCACTCCGCAGCAGGGAGCATACCTCTGCTCGTGATGAGTGGCTCGTGCTCAGGAGAGCGTGACAGGATGTAAATATTAATGGCGCCCCGCTTGGCTAAGCTGAAACATTGGCTAGCTTCACTTCTTTTGGTTGTCTAGCGTAAGATACAACAGAGATAAAATGAGATATTTTTATACCTAAAACAAAAAAAAAGTGGCTGTAATGGTGGCGATGGTTGTGGTGGGTATCCTGTATGACAGCAGCCAAAATATTAAGCACGGCCTATAACAAAATAGCAAAAAAGAAGAGCCATAAAAAAGCACAAGGTTCAACAGGTTTAAAAAGACACACAAAGAAGGGGCACAATTAATATACTTAAAACGAGCTCGATAAATACAAATCTGAATAAAATATTAGAACATGTGTAGAGCTGAATATAACACAATGAGCAGCTCAGTAAGGAAAAACACACAAACACAAACAAATCTGGGAATCACATATGAAAAATCTAAATGGGTAACCAAACCAGATTAACTGACCCTTGTTTTTTGGTGACTACAGTACACTTATTTGTCCTATTGTGATTACATATAGTACATAAGGACACTTGTTATAACACATGTGGCATATAAAGTCAGTCAAATCGAACCCCATCAGAATCTATTGCTTATTTTGTACAATAACTTTAGTCTACTTGAAGAATCCATACAAAATGTAACTTTCACGCTTTTAAAATTTCCAAGTTACAGACCCTCAAAGTGAATCAAAGAATTGTGTGCTTTTATTTATCCACTGTTTTTGAGCTCCCATAACTTCTTAAATACAGGAGACAAGCATGGAAATTTTTCAGGGTTGAAAAACACAAGCGATCTCTTACAAAATGCAACCAAATCCTTTTTATAACCACCCCAAGAGTCACAGTCATGGACTATATCAAAGCTTCAGTGGAAAGATTGCACAAGTTTACTGTCTAGGACATAGAGTAGTAGAAATAAGCTTCTAGTATTTCATTGGAGAAAACTTCAAAAAATGCAGAAAAGTTCAGTGAAGTTTTATGGGTGTAAAGTAGGTCCTTGTTCTAGCCAGTGAATGGTTTCCTTGTGTAATACCTGATTCATCTTCTAGCTGTAATTTCTTCTTTGTAAAAACACTTCTAGACAATATTTTTTTTTAACTCTCTCTAAATGTTAAATTTAGGATTTTAAGTCAGCTGATTCTGATTTAGTTTTAATATAGAGTGTGTAAAAGATGAATGTAGCTACCATGATGTCACCCACAGGAAGTCCCATTATGAAGCCGCTGTGTAGTATTCTCACCATCTTAGTGTTGAGCAAGGGGTACATCTGACTAAAAAAAAACCCACACACGGTCATTTCGGTCTGACCCTTAGAGTCAATAAAATAACAAAAGAATTGTCTTGTACAGTATGAAACCCAAAAACCCACCAGGAAGGTGTTTACAGAGTTAAAAGCAAAGAGCTGTTTTCCTATAGACTTCAATGGGACTGGAAGCCTTATTGTAGCCACAGATATCGCCCCCTGCAGGCTCAAATTTTCAGGCTCAGAAGCATTCATCTGTTTTACTGTCTACTGAGGTTTCTCATGTGACGCCATAGACACACTGCTCGAGAGTTCACTATCATATTGGACATGTTACAGTCACTGGTGGCTATGAAAAAACTGCATTCCCTGCTGGCTGGCAGTGGTTCCAGGAGGTTTCTGGCTCTCACTGGATGGAATCAGTTACAAAGAAGCTGCTGCTGCTGATTGCTTTGGTTGCTAGTGGACTGTCAAGGTTGGCTGCAGTTTTTTATGTTTCTCAGCAAAACATGTGCTAACTACTTACCTGCTAGTGACGAAAGCAATCACGAGAAGGTTTATATAATATTAGTTGATTGGGAAATACATGCTTCCACTCTCTAGGCCTGTCTGACCTTCTATACGCAATCCTACATTAACAGCATGACTGTCACGCCTTGAAAATGGTGAAGTCACGCGGTTAGTGGTCACATGTCTGCAATACCTCAATAGGAACAAACCAAATGGCGATGCAAAGGCTGATGTTGTAAAGAATATGTTATTATATTCCAAAGGCTTTGAGGTACATGTAAAATGCTGGTATGCAATAAAAAAAACAACATAAAATATATTAAATCACAATCTAATTATGCTGTAACTATGTGCAACTCTTCAGCTGCTATTTACATTCAACATAAATGCAGATTAATTCAAGTGTAGACTTTCCAGTGAAATAAAGTGATGAATTTGAATATTTGTGGAAGATTTCACTGTCATAAAGGTGCAACAAAGGCAGACACTCCAACTATAATCAGTCCCATAATTAAGCGACGAAGTCATGAAAGCAGTGCTGTGATGATGAGATAATGAAATCAGATTTACAAGTAAACAAAGTATGATTTTTTTGACATAACAGGATAATTAAGTTATGAGGTAACAGGAGTAAAGGAAAAATTAGTAGATATATTCAAGACGTTTATAAGACCTCACAAACGAGGCTTCAAGGGGTGAAAATACATCAAGAAGAGAGCCCAGAGATGCACAGCCTGTTCTTTTATTTATCATTTGTGTCTCATAATTTTCACAACACTTAATGAAGCTTTAGCAAGACAAGCGCCACAAAGCATATGTCATTTATAATAAAAATGTGGGAGATGGGAAAAAAGTCTGCAGGCGTTTATGGTTTTATGGTTTCAAATTTCTCCCTCTTTCTCTCTCTTCTATGTTCCAAGCCTAAGACCCCACGCTGTGCACACGTTACCACCCATGCAGTGTTTGTGTCACGATGACCACTGGCTGCTGCTAGATTCATGAGTTTAATCCCTGGAAGTGCTCCAAGCATCCACTTTGCTGCTGTCCTGTCCTCTCAACCAAACATCAAACTCTTGCCTATAGCGCAAAATGCAGTGAGCCAAAGGGATGTCTGCATTTGGCATCATGTTCTATCAGGAGATCAGCCTGAGATGAATAACCGCTGCCCTTGACTGCACCATTGCCTCTGTATTTTGTGCAGATTATTTAACAGCCGGCCTCCATAAACACATCACAACAGTAAGAAGCTGTCTGCAAACACCAATTCTGACAAATCTTTACTTGTTATATTAATGTGGAAATGCGCTTTTTTGCTTTGTGTTAGTGATCTTTGTATTTAATATAAATGAGCAAATAAGAAACATACTGCTGTGAAAATGTGTGCAACAGCTGCCTTGTAAAGGACAGAATAGATTAGAATAGAAAGCCTAGATATTCATCCTTGTGTGTTATTTTACAGGAAAATGACATTTATAGGGCATGGAGTTAGACAAGGCATGTGGAGGACAGCCTCGGTAGAAATTTGTGCTCCTATTATACCTGACAGCAGAGATACTTTAGGATTGGTCAGGAAAAGAAAAAAAAAAGAATTGCCAGGACTCTTTGCTTCTGTG